TTGATATATATATATATAAAAGATTATTCCATCACGATGTAATGACTAAAGTGCCCTTCCCTAGATCTTCTCTCTTTCCTTCCATTGCTGACTAAAGTCCACTTCCTGCCCCCACCACTCATTAATGGGCATTTTAGTATTCGTGTGAGGGAGGATGTGAGAGACGTAAATATTTTTTGCTTCGTCACGGTAAATTTATTTTTCTTTTATTGTTGAATAAATCACTGTAATACTATGACCAGTAGGGAAGATGTCTTCCTTTTTGTCGTGAAAGATATTGTAGCGTAGTTTAGCAGATTATTTGGTTTGGAAATTTCATCATTAACCAAGAACTATGCAATAATTAGGGAATTGAGAGTAGCATTTAGGGTTGAATGAATATGACAAGTATTTTGCTAATGCACGGTAGTAATCATGTTATCTAGTTAGCGCAAATATTTGTCAACATTATCAGGTACTAAACGTGAACACTTCTTCTAATGAGAATTTGTCATTAGTTCTCATTGATTTGTTTTTTTAAAATAGCAATCCCATTGATTTTTAGATGAATGAATTTCGAGCTGGGCTTTCATTAATATCAGTATCATCCTCCATTCACCACCAATAACAATAAAAAAAAAGATAAGTACATTGCAAGCTGAACAATTCCCTAATCACAATGTGATTTCGAACTCACTATGTAAATAAGATATTTATTCGCAAAAAAAGAAAAGAAGAGTAAATAAGACACTTCACTTATGCACAGAGTAAAGTATCCTATTTCATTCGTTAAGTTTATAAGATTTCTCTTGTCAATTTCTTCTTTTAAAATCTTATATCTCATTTAAAACAAAAATATTTCGCTTCACATAAATACTGTTCTTATTAGGTAAATATATAAACATCGCATAAATTTTGAAAAATAATATTGTCACATCGTCACATTTTGTCCATGAGTTAATACAAATAATTAAATTATTCGGGGTTCAATGCGTCGGTATCATTGCATTAAATATATGACAATAATATTTCAAGGTCCGGCCCTACCCTAATAACTTAATCTTTGACAATAATCATATTTATTGCCCCAAATAGAGCACCAAATAATTATAGGTTAAGTTAGAATATGAAATAGATGCTACGTTCAGCATTATTAGTAGAGACTAGTGTAATTTTTGGTTCTTGAAATGTATGCTCAAGTTATTTTTGGTTTTTCAAATTTCAAACCTATAATAATGTTAATCCCTAGAAAGCTTACAATGTTAAAATCTGTTAAAGTATCATAAATAATGATAAAGTGATTGTGTATTCATCACATGACACCTAACTAGATCTTATGTGAGAATAATTAAATGGAGGGGAATGAGTTCTCACAACATTGCATAGTTAATACTCCTCCAGTCTTAAATATAAAACTCATGCTAGTATAACCCCCTGCTTGGATTAAGGGAAAATTAGGGAGGAAAGAAAGCAAGAGGAAAAAACATGAGGGGAATCAACTTTTCTCTTGCTTGGGTAGGAGAGAAAATGTGGGAGGAAAGAAAAGTGGAAGAGAAAATAAAATGGGTCTCATACCTCATTTTCTCTCCAAATTTTCTCTCCATATATGGAGAGATTTGGGAAGGAAAACAAGATTTTCATAACTACCCTTACTATCTCTTACTTTTCATATTTATTTTCTTTTATTATATTTAAAAAATTTATTCATTTTTTATTTTTTATCTTAAAACAATATTTTTATTAAATAATTTGGCTTTAAAATATAATAATCCGAAAATATATATCAACCAAATAACTTGATTTTAATTATTTGATAATGCCAATGTTAGTATAATCTTTCTATCACAATATTTAATTTAATTTAATTTTAAATATGATATATTTGATAAGAACATTTTAGTCATTTGGATATTTATTAATTTTCTTTCCTCTCTATTTTCTCTCATCTATCCAAGTAAGAGAGATGATAACATTTTTCCTCTAGTTTTTCCTTCTCTCTATTTTCTCTCCTATTTTTTTTCCTCCCAATTTTTCTTCCCATCCAAGCAGAGCATAAGAGTCTTCTATTTAGAACCAAAGGAGTAATTCCTTAAAAAGAAACAATGAGAAAACCAAAAAAGGCTAAACAGTTATGTTTTGAGAATCTATTCTTTTTTCTTTCTTTGTGTTATCCACACCAAATCTAATTAGACGCTATTTGATGAGTCTACATCACCATTTTACAACAAAGCTTAGCATCATTACACCTCTAGAAATTAACATTTTACAACAAATTACATTCTGAAAACCAAAACCATGAGTTTGGAATTTGAGGAACCAAGATTAAAATAAGTCATATTAGAATCTTGTATTTGTCTTTTGAAGCTTTAATACCAAAGAATAATAACATCTTTCACATAATTGATAATTAGATGAAAATTTGATGAAGAAAACAAGGTTAGAAGCATTCAACGTCATGGTACAAACATAATTTGGCATATGCAGATTATTAACAAAACAATAGAGCCTGGAGTAAAATAATTTCAAAAGAATATATTTTAGTAAAATAATTTATGATGGAAACCAAAGGAACTCCCAAAGTACAACGTATAATTTTCATCAGTAAATCTGCCTCAAATCTCAATACACAATTTTCTTACGCATACTTCTCATCACCTACTCCACTATGGGAGCTATCATCGCCTTTCTTAAGAAATGTTATCAGCCAATGACACTTCACAAAGATGCAGCTTGGTAAACAAACACACCAGCAGTGGCGAAGTGATGGGCTTTACACCAGCAAGGACAACACCCTCTTTTGTCTTCAACCCAACTGCAGTTGATCCCAGCTGCAGCCAACAAAAGCCAACTTATAATTTACAGCTAATCTATACTAAGCTATTATTGCGGCAAAAAAACCAGAAGGCACAAGACAGGAAAAAAAGTAATGAATTGCTCACTGGCAAATAGCTGTAACAGTTCAACCAAATAGACGACAGATATAGGAAGGAAGCATCAAATAAGTCTAGCTTCCGCATGGCTCCATTATAAGCCAAAAAGTTCCAAAATATGAATATGATTTATATGAAAAATAAAAAGATTAATCATATTGAAATAACATGTCCTAACCACAGAAAGAAACAATAAAAAGGAAATGAGAGATCACTGTGAAGAGCAGCATGCCTTGATGGCCTCAATAGCGCATTCGACCTGAAATAGCCTGCCTTCAGGAGAAACTGCATTAACTTCTCGGTCATACTTCTCTTCATTCTGATTTGATGAGATCAGTAAATGACACATAATTGGAAGAGATTAGGATAAAGACAAAGAAGTAAACAAAGGAAAACAATAGCAGCATTTGGTTCTTGCAAAGTCACTTCATGTCTTGCATTTTTTCCTGAGTTTACTCGGCATCCTTTGAAGTTGATGGAAATCAGTTAGAGAAAAGTTAAGGAGTTCAAAGCGCTGGCCCCAATATGTTTTTTTTTAAGGTGCTTCTAATGAGGGGGGAAAATCTAAACCGTTCCATCAAGCAAACACCGGAAACTACCATCTTATCCGTACATCGACCCATATTACCCTCAATTTAGGGTTTAGGGATCAAATTATAATGGACTAGGACTCGTTGCTTGAATCTGAGTAAAAAGTTTTAGCATGACTTCAGTTCATCCATAACATGTGTTTTAAGGTCTTTTTTCCTTCATCCATTGACTTATTTTGCCCATAGAGCTTAATGATGAAACTGTTTGGCTAGCCATGATCCATAAGCACCAATCCATAACGTAGATCTTCAAGTACGTTTTTATCTTCAAGTACTGATGACGTGTAAGCCCCATAAAGCTTACTAATGAATTGTCTGGCTAGTTATTTTCAACCCCAAGCAATGATTGAAAAAAGTTAAAAAAGAATAAATTAAAATAGCCTGTGAAATTATCAGTATCTGAAGAGCTGAGCTAAGCATAAACCATAAGATGAACTTGACTGTGCCAGTGCCAAGGCAAAAAGTAGTAATAACAAATTAAACTTTTTAAATTCAAAAATTATGTCCATCTCTTTAGCTTATATGACAAATACTCTAAAATTCAACAGCATCGGATGCGTGAGAATTAGCGTAGTTAAAAATGTGTAGCCATTGATGTAAAAGACCGAATTAATGAAGTTGTTAATATAGTTACCTGATTATTCTCAATTTTGTGCACGCTGATTTGATGTCAAATTGTGCCTAGGCTTCGATGGTTTCATGACCTGAGGAGAAAATGTAGGTGATTTGCAGCCCAGTAATGCTTGAGATGTATTGCCCCATTCAACAAATGGCACTATAAATAAAGCACATGTAAAGGATGAAGAGCTTTTGGCGGAGAAGGCCAATTTTTGTTAAGGTTCTCGACCTTCCCAATAACGAGGAGGCCGCTGCAAAACTCGCAAAGTCACAGGGACTAGACTAATCAAAGGTTGGCTTAATTTATAAAATCTTTTACTGAATTCTTGAGTACTAAATTGTGCATCGCACACAGCGTAAAACTTGAATGCTTGATTTTTCAGTATAGATCCCAGCGAATGACGTCCTCATATCATAACGTCAAGGAATTTTACCTAACTGTACCAGTCAGGCATATTACAACTTCTCTTTCTCAACCATTACTGAGTAGCAAACAATCTTAGGTAATTACTCTTTTCTGGCCCACCATCAATATTCATTGCCAATTACAACAACTTATACATTCTTTTATCAAAATGTTTTACAAGCATAACCTTCATTTTCCATCTCCCAGTGCAATAACTTTAACACGAAATAAACATCTTTGCCTCCACACTGAAGTAATTTATTTGCCTCAAAAAAATACACGTCATTTCTTATCCCAATCCAGCTGCATCCTGCGGACTCCTTGGCACTTTTATGGTTCAATGCCTTTCTCACTCGAACCATGTTCTCCCACTTGCCCCCCATTTGATACGCCTGAGCCAACATCAAGTAAGGTAAAGATGACTGTGGTTCCATCTCCATTATTTTCTTTGCTACCTTTTCAGTAAATCATAAGTTTTCAGAAATTGCGCATGTAGAGAGAATTGACTTCCAAACGAGCAGTTTTATGTGGCATTGTTTCCATAATAATGTCAATAGCTTCCTTCAATCTACCAGCACGACCAAACAACTCCACAGCAAAAGCATAATGCTGCTTCTCTGGTTTAACCCCTAATTCCTTCTCCATAGACGATAATATTTGAATTCCTTCATCAACCAAGCTCCCGTAGTTGCATGCTTGTAAAACTGCATAAAGAGTTATTCGGTCTGGTGGCATACCTTTCCCAATTAATTCACTGAAAAGGTCCATAGCCGCAGACACTTCACCATTGTAAGTTAGACCCATTAATATGGTGTTCCAGGATATCAAATCTCTTCTTATTTCATTGAAGATATTTAAGGCATCATAAATGGATCCAAATTTTGCATACATTCCAACAAGTGAATTGGCAACTATTGCATCTGACTCAAAACCCAATTTCAGAACCAATGAATGGATTTGATTACCCAGTTCTACTTGTAACACACTGGAAAAACAACTCAGAAGACAGCTAACCATATATTCAGTTGGCCTAAGATTCTTCCTCCAAGTCAATACAAAAAGTCCTAATGCCTCTTCTCCTAAACCTTGCCTAGCATAGCTTGAAATCATAGAACTGCATAGAGCTGAGCCCAATTGATATTCTTCTCTAAAAAGCTGGACAGAATCCTCCAATCTGTTGCATTTGGAAAAGAGGTCAATAGCTGCACTTGATAGAATACTATTATGAACGAATCCCACCTTAAAACAAAAGGCAAAAATTTGCCTACCCTTTTCCAAATCTTGCAGCTTAGAACACACAGATCAATATTGAAGATGTAAACTGATCAGGTAACAACTCTGTGATTCTCATACGATAGAACTGCTCTAATGCCAATCCTTGATGTCCTGCATTATGGCAGGCCCTGATCAAAGAATTCCAAGAGATAATATCCAACTGCTTCATGGTCAAAATCACACCAAAAGAATAATCAAGAAGACCAAAATTCCCGTACATATTTATTAAAGAATTTCCGAGAACTGAATTTGAGAAATCCATCCTACTTCTGATCAACCTTCCATGAACTAGCTTACCTTGACAGGGACTTGATACAAGTGACATCATGATGGTGTAAGTGAATTCACTTGGTTTTGTGCCAATATTTTGCATCTCAAGGAAAAGTTGAAAAGCTCGATTACCAAACCCATGAGAAGAGTAGCCTGAAATCATTGTATTCCAGCTGACCACCTCCTTCATAGGCATTTCATCAAACAAATGTTTGGCCTTCTCAAGATAACCACTTCTGAGCAACCCTTTTAAGAAGATATTCCAGGACGTAGAGTTCTTATTACTCATATCACCAAATGCTTTCAAGACATCACTTATCCCACCAAACTTGGAGTATAGATCGAGACAACGATTACCCAAATAGGTGTAGACATTGAAACCCAATTTTATAAATAGGTGTAGACATTGAAACCCAATTTTATCAACTGGGCATGGAAAACCTTGTTCAATTTTAGAGGCTTTTTGGATAAGTAGTAGTCTAAAAGAGCAGAAAAATAAGAGAGTGAATTTTGAGGACCTTGTCCTAGCTTTAAATATGGGCATATACATAAAATATGAGTCACAAGGCAACTAAACACCAAAGTGAGATAAAGCACACGGCATTGCATCCTCGAAGGGACCTTCCTAAAATTTCTGTTGTTGAACCTCTCTTGCAAATACACTTGGAATACTCGGAAGACAAATCATACCTTCTATCTAAATGTGGCGTGATGATTTAGCGCCCCCCCCCCCCCCAAAAAAAAAAAGGAAGCGGCGATGTTTATATATTTACCCAATACGAACAATATTTATTTGAAGTGAACTATTTTTGTTTGAAATGAGATACAAGATTTTAAAAGAAATTGACAAGAAAAATCTTATAAGCTCAATGAATGAAATCGAATACTTTAATTTGTATATAAGTGAGATACCTTATTTACATAGTGTGTCCGGAATCACATTGTGATTAGTGAATTGTTCAGCTTGCAATAGATTTATCCTTTATATGATGTCCGCACACATCTTCAGATCAAGAACAAATTAGACAGATCAAACAAAACATTATGATGCTCATTTGAAATTTTTCACAAAAATATTTTTAAATAAGAAAAATAAAGTAAACCCATAATGCATCCAGTAAAGACTAGCATGCATAGGAAATAAAACTAGCTCACAATCAGGAAACTAATAACAAATGGGTTGAAGGAATGGGGACAACTAAAAAACTATAAATACCTCTCGCCATAGTGGTTATCCACGAGACCGTCAATCTGAAACAGGGATAGCCGGAAACAAAAATTACAATCATGAGAGTAATAACATGGGTTGAAGGAATGCGAAAGTTTAGAGAACATCATGAAAGTAATAACAAATGCATTTAGTAATACAAATTAGAAATTATAGGAGGATTGTATCAAAAAACGCATAATAACATAGCTCCCTTCAATGTACAAATTTTCAAAATTACAATACTCAGATAACATACTATTATTGAGTGTTTGAATTATAAACATTATACCAAGCATTCGAATTTTTATTGTGGCAACTCTAAATTCTAAAATTTCATAACATCTTTATAGCTACTCTTTGTCCAATGTCCCAAGCCCTTTGACCAAAGGGCTTGGGACATTGGTGAAAGGGATATAGTTCTTCGGTGTGACTCTTCGGAAGCCATACATCTCATCTCCGGTGGTGACAGCAGCTTGCACGACAACTGGGTTGTGATCCAGGAACTTCAGAACATGCTCGAACAGTCTTGGACAGTTGAGTTACAGGTCATTCACTGTGAGGATAACCAGATGGCAGATGCTCTTGCGAAAAATGCTCTGAATGAAGCAATGGGTCTCCAGATTTTAAGCTCTAAGGCAGGGCGGACGATGCTTGGGTCGTCGGGTGCAGTTTAGTTTTGTTCTCTGTTTTTCCTGTTCAAGTGTATCAAAAAAAATCTTTATAGCTACTCTTTGTATGTGCTAAAGATTCCAAAGGCGAAGGAGCAAAGTCTTCAACCTTCCCACCTTCCTCACTCAAACCCGGCAAGAAAGCAAGACAGAGATCAAAGTAAAAAACACAGTGGGGACAAGAACGCCAATGAATCAATGAGAGTGAGAAGAAAGAGATTGATGAGAAAATGGAGATGGTTTCAAAGATTCAACAAGATCAAGATGTAAGATGTTTCTAGATTTATCTACTTCCTTTCAGCCATCACTAGGTTCTAGTCTCTCAGTCAATTTGTTCATTTTCCCGATTTCTTCCTCTCCATTTCTTCTCTTGGCTGTCGCACTGCATCTATGTTTTGGGCATTTGATTTGTGTGTGATGGGTTGATATTGAAGAAATATTATTACTGGGGCAATTGTCATTGTAATAGTTTTGAATAAAGCTTATAATCAGAAAAATTATATTTTTTACTATGCCTTTTTGTATAAGTCGAAGTTTAGAGAAAAATCAAACAAAGCAAACCAAAATAATTTGGTTTGTCCGGTTTGATTATTATTATCAATCACAAGATGCAAGGTGCTTCTATAAACAAATAGAAGTAAACAACTAGGAATGAATCTCCTTACGCTTAGCCTTGCTCATCCATACCTTTGATTAATTTATTTTGATCAAGTTCCACCTCCTAGTGCTAAAAAGTGCAATGCCCCAAATGATCATTTAGGAACTAATTGCTACTGAAATTTGCAATTAATCCAAATCTCAATTAAGTACCAACATAGCAGCAATCCAATTTCAAATGGCACCAAGACAGAACAGAACAATCGTTTAAGCTCAGCTGCAACATTCCTAAATTAAGGTATCAATCGAGTACATCAATCACAGTCAATAGATTCAACGATTAACACCAAATTCATGACATTTAACAAACTCTAATCAGTAGCAGAATAACATGAAGACAAAGGAGGAAAGGAATGAAATCAGATTAGAAACCCAAACAAAACCTCTTGTAGATCAATATATGGATTCAAGCTCAGCAAAAGAGTTCATAATAATAGCTGATGACAACAAAAATCAATGTGCCATGGAAGGGAAAAATGAAGAAACGAAAATAAAAGAAAGAAAGGAAGAACCCGCGATGAAGAGAAAGAACAAGACGCCGTCGATGATGAAAGAAGAAGAAGCCGTCGAACTTGGAAGAAGAAGAAGACGCAACTGGTGCTGCATTCCTCTTCCAGAGACCCTTCGTTCTTTCCCTTCCTCTTTTTCTTAGTCCGCCGTTTCACTCGCCCGTCTACCTCTTTTTTCCGTCGGGCTGACCTTTTCCTTCATTGCCCTCCTTGGTGCCTAATACATAACGATGAATCTGGCAGAGCTTGCATAATACAATATAGCATAAATGAAAAATATAATCTTTCCAATTATAAGCTTTATTCAAAACTATTACAATAACAACTACCCAATAATAATCTTTCTTCAATATCAACCCAGCACATACAAATCAAATGCCCAAAACATAGATGCAGTGTGATAGCCAAGAGAAGAAATTGAGAGGAAGAAATTGAAAAAATGAACAAATTGACTGTGAGACCAGAATCTCGTCATGGCTGAGAGGAAGAAGTAGAACACTAGTCCCATTTGTCATTTTCTCTTGTTTTGGGTCTTTTAAATTTTTATTTTAAACAAATTTGTTATTTAAAATTTTTTCTAATAATACATTTCAAAATAATCAACTTAACAAATTTTACTTGGCTTAAAAGAAAAATGAATCTTGCTATTTTTAAGCTTTAAAATATATTTTAATTAATAAAATAATATATTTGTAAAAATTAATTTATAATAATATAATTTTTCATTATAATAATATTTTTATTTTAAATTAATTTTTATTATAATATATTTTTTAATTATAATAATACATATTTTCCTTATAATAATACATTTTTATTTAAAATAAATTTTATAATAATATATTTTATAGGTATTAATAAAATATCACCAAAAAATAAGAGCAAAATCATCTAAACTTTTAATTCTTTTCTGAAAAATGGAGTCTGTTGCTCATCAAATCTATGAGCACCCAATGCTCATCTTCCCAATCACGCCGCAGCATATGGGGAGAGGTGCCATTGTCCAACAGCAATTCCCATTTTTCTCTCCAAACCACATGAGCACCTCAACATTTAGCAACATTCTCTCATCTCTCATTTTCTGTTATTTTGGGTCTTTTAAATGTTTATTTTGCACACATTCATTATTAAAATAATTAAACATTGAAATTATTTTTAAAAAAGATACTCCTAAATATAGAACTCACTTTGTCCTATTATATGTAACGAGAGAACTTAATATAATAAATATAAAAAAGTTAATCTAAGTATTCTCTTGTAAAAAATTAATTGCAATATTGTCTTGTCTAACATGATGATATGACTTTGGAGGAGTTAAATCAAGTGCCTTGTTCTTGGTTTGCGTTGACCTTAAACCCTGTCTAAGATTTTTGCACCAAAAAATAATAATTCCGATGTTTTTTTTTTAAGGGTTAAGGTTCTTAATTGCCCCAGAAGTTTTTCCCGAGGAGCACTCAGCACCCAGAAGTTTTTGTTTGTTCTTAAATATCCCGGAAGTAATTTATCGTAGCAATTATGCCCCGAGTTAACGTTCAGGCAAACGGATGTTTGTAAATGACACGGTGTCGAGAAGATGGACAACACGTTGGTGAATGAGATGGTGACGTGGCACTGTTGTGTCGACAAAATAAAAGTTGATGCCAAAGGTCAATGTTGTCATCGAAGGTCGCTTTTTTCGTCAACATTGAGAGCTAGGGCAAAGCAAAGCGAGGTGGGGCGCATGTGAAGTCTGAGAAGAGGACAGAGCAGAGAAGACCAAAGATCAGTTCTCGAATATGTATTCAAGAAGACCAATTCTCAAATACGTATTCGAGAAGAACATTTCTCTAATATATATTCAAGAATATATTCAAGAATATAGTTGAAAATAAGCTTTGAGTTAGAATGGTGTTACCAAAGGATGCGTGTGATGTGCGACAGTAAAAGACACAAAGGATACGTGGGATGTGCGACAGTAGAAGACACAAAGCTATTTATATTGATTAATATTGATTAGTCGATAAGTGTATTTATCGATTAACAAATTGATAAATGAGGACTTGAATTGTTTCTTTTATTTATCGAAATCCTTATCGATAAATACCATTTATCGATAACCTTATCGGACAAAAGTTTATGAAATTGGCTCAATTATATCGAGTAGCTTATCGATAAGTTCATTTATCAAACAACTTATCGATAAATGACCACCATTTGTCAACTTTGCTACATCAGTGTTATTTGGCTCTCCAACATTTACAGAACATACATCAAAAAAACAATAGACTGGTACAACTAGAACCAAAAGAGAACAAGGCCAAGTACAAATACACCTTCCTAAATCCTAAGAAGTGCCATCTAAATACGCCAAATACACTAAACAGTGCTATCTAAATCCCCTAAATAGCAGACTAGTACAAATAATATAGCTATTCCCTTCCTCTCATTGCATCGAACTTCCTTCGGCTAGAAGAGGCAATTACTATGTGGTCCCTGTGAGATAGGAGTTGTGAGGTGGTTGAGGCTGGTTGTCCTGACCACATTAGTCCTGGAGGAGTGAATGGTAGGTTAGAAGGAGTGGAAGTAATTGCTCCATCACCTCGATATTGGATTCTACGGGAGCCACTACCATTGGAATCAGACATGCTCCGAGAGATCCTTATTGAAAGTTCATTTGGGATGGGAAACCTTGTTTCTATGTCTACATGGTGCTCCATGTATTCTTCTCCCTCATCAAGGACAACTTGTGAATTCAAGCCACGCTGCATAATGACATTAACAATATAGTTAGATTCTGAAAACATGGAATGAAAAAGGATTATGAAAACAGATTAAACGATCACATACATTGTAGACAGTTCATCCAATTTCCTCATCAATCTGGACTCCCATTTCACTATCAACATGGCTCTTGTAGAAAGCCCTTCCACCACGTGGTCTTCTGTTCGTATCAGACTGTTGAGTGTTGGTTTGTGACTGTTCACTCTCAATAGCCCGTCGCCTGTTAACCTTAGCTCTCAGTGTCGACGACAAGAGCGACCTTCGATGACAACATTGACCTTCAGCATCAACTTTTATGTTGTCGACACAACAGTGCCACGTCACCATCTCATTCACCAACGTGTCGTCCATCTTCTCGACACCGTGTCATTTACAGACGTCCGTTTGCCTGAACGTTAACTCGGGGCATAATTGCTACGATAAATTACTTCCGGGATATTTAAGAACAAACAAAAACTTCTGGGTGCTGAGTGCTCCTTGGGGAAAACTTCCGGGGCAATTAAGAACCTTAACCCTTTTTTAATATTCATTCGGTCTTAAATAACTCATTGTGTAACGTAAATATTTAGGGCACAAAATGAGTTTTATATTTAGGTCCGTAAGATCAATAAATATGTTTAAAATAAAAGTTTGAAAGACCCAAAATAAGAGAAAATGGTAGATGGGAGAATGGTGCTGAATGCTTAGCTACTAATATGGATTGTTGGGCAGTGGTGCCTTTACATGTGCTACAACGATGAGCACTGAGTGTTCATAAATTTGATGAGCACCCAATACGTAGTGCAAAAAATTCCAATTTAAGAAAAGTCAAAATGAGAGTAGGGAGCTATCCGTTCCTCAAAAATTTCTAATGGAACAAGGAGAGGGTTTATTTTCCCTTTCCTCCCTACTCTCCCCTCCAACTAAACACACTACTAGGTTAGGAAAGGAAGAGGAAGAGTGGAAATGTGAAAGTCAGATGTCAAACACTAG